ACTGCTTCAATATCAATTCTACCACATGATTTCACTGATGATCTTAATACATGTTTTGGAAATGTGTATATTGTGCAATCAACTAATCAAGTGATCTTTGATTTTATTGAAAGAAATCACCAAATGTTGTAAGATAAAATTTTACTCTAAGGAAGCAAAATCAAGATTGTTTCTAGTGAAATAAGGAAAAGAATTTACAGATGTTTTGTGGGAGGTGGTGGACGTACAATATGTAATTTCTTCACGTTTGCCTGAATAAGAAAGAAGCTATGGGTTTTCCTAACTAATAACTTTTTAGTTATAATTTTTGTCACTTTCCATTAATTTGTTGGAAATTCAGTAATATTTGACTTTCATGTTATCAATGTCATATCTTCACGAGTTTACATGTGGTATTTTTTTGTTCATCATAAGTGTGCTATACAATATTACTTTTGTTATACATCTGAGCATTTGAAACTCCAACAAATTTTCCATCTTCGATCAGTTTCACTGGCATGAAGTCTCTTGGTGCTTGATGTTATATCTCATATTTTCTTCTAATTCTTGGGAAACAAAATAACAATATAAACCATCATGCATTTATTCAGATTTCTGTTTTTCCTCGTGCCACAATGCGTCTACACAAATTTTTCATCCAATTGTAAATACACATTGAATTTGGGTCGAATTTGGGTCAGTATCTATGTGGTTGTTGCTTACCTTGTTTCCAGGTGCATGCCTTTTGTTATGGGCTTTCCTTGAGATGTGTACTGTATTATTGCTATTTGATTGTGTAAGAGTATTCATGTCTTTCTAAAAAATGGTTTGGTCTCGTCATTTGATTCAAATGCAAATTTGGTTTTTTTCTGGATCACAAAGTGATCTAAGTTACCATTTGAACTAGGGAGAATCTTTTGTCTTTGATTCTCAGCGTCGTTTGCATATGTTACTTTCTTATGCTTTTATATGCTTACCATACTGATGTAATGTGACCTTTCATGTTACAATTGCCATATTCTTTATATTGTATTCCCTTTTCCTATATGGGTGCCTGTTCCACCTAAATGAGTAAATGATGGATTTTGTTCCTTTCCCTTTTTGTTTTATGTTTGAAGCTAGTTATAATAAGAAAGCTACTATTAATCAGTAGGATATTGGAACTTCTGAAAATCCATAATTTTTGCAAATGTTCGCAAGCATGTATTTATTAGGTTATGCACTTGATCTGAGAACTGTCGTCTCAATTACGTGAATACGTGGCATGTTTTAGTAAGGGTCCTGACTCTTGCAAACTCAGAAAGTTTCACAGGATTTAGTTTAACGTCCAATGGGGGTAAAGCATGGATTAGGTGCTTAGCAGTAACGAAGGTGGAGATATGAGTTATTTAGACCTTAAGTCCGTTAGCCAGCTGAACTTATGCTTTTGATAAGTTCTATTTCTTATTTTGTTAGTTAATGCAGAAAATGGAACAAGAACATGTATTACTCCTTTTGAAATATCTTGCCCAGCTTATAGCTTCGAAAATATTCGGTTGAAGATGCCCCGACACCAAGGTATTAGACCTACTGATGTACCCTCTTGACACTATAGGCCCAATAAAAAAGAAATAGGAGTAGACCCACCCTAAAGTATAACGCCCTGAAGTCTACTAAATCTATGATTCAAAAAACAGCATGAGATAACGCCCATACAAATCTGAAGATACTCTAAGTGCTATCTAGGTACACCTTCAATTTATTTAAAGGTAATAGTCTTCTTTCAGACCCACCTCAATCCTTGTCCCACAAAAACATATTTTTTAGCATGATCAAAATCACGGTTACATAAATTATACTCTTTTTCATGCATTCCAGAACAATAAAACTAGAAGCTATTAGTAAATTAGTTAATTCCAAAATAAATCATTCTACGTAAGGGAAGAAGAACCGGAAAATCTAAGTCCTCTAATGTTGCACAAGAAATAAACATCTTTTGTGAGTCTTAATTGCATCAAGAACATTTTTTGCAGTTTCGAAGTAGGTAAAATTCAGCTGTTGCATGTTTGGATGAAGTTACCTACTTTCCTGCTTCAGTTCTTCACAATATTTTTTGTTCACTTCATGATGCAACCTATTTGACCCACCATACTGAATAATCTTCCACATCGAGGACTATGTCAAACCTTTATTCAATCTAACTATATGATAGTTTCTACATGAATGGATGGAAAGAAAAAAAGAAAAAAATCATTGGATTGGGTGTATATTACATTCATCTTTTATGTAAAGGATACTTTCGGAAAATGGTGGTCTGCTTGTGTGAAATTAATTTACAGATTAGTAAGTTTGGGCGTGTATTTCAAAGTTAGGTGTTATCTAGAGAATTTGGGCGTGGGTGTGATAGATCCTCATTGTAACTGAGGGATTACATAATGACTTGAGTTATGACTGAATAAAAGAGAAGACATAACAGAACATAACCTAGTGCAGCTCACTAACAGAGTCTATGTTTATATGAAATTTGTGGGAGTAAGGACCCATAATCTCTTACTGTAAAGACTAATGATTACATGAAGTTTACTAATAATCTTTTTCCTATAAATTATAAGATTCCTGCTTTTAGGTTTCTGATGACTTGCAAATATTCTGAATGTTTAGACTTTAATAGTTTAGTTTGGAGAATGGAGGTTCCTTATTGCTGAGGCTAGGTTGCGATATATTGTTCTGCATTTTAGTTAGTCTTTCGGTTTCATTCTCTCCTTTTAGGAATTAAGAGTATGATGAGATATTCTGATTCATATGTGTGATTTTGTAGCATATATGTCCAGATTTACCAAAGCTTAAGTTATAATTCAATTAAGGAGGGCCTTGATTTATTACGCCGGATGCATCCGAAGATATTGGAACTTGAGGTAGGTCATCATATTTGGTGTTCGCCACTGTGAGATTGAAGATTATGATGGAATTTCCGCTACAAAAAATGGAAGGAATTGATGCTCGATACCATGGCAACAAGGTGATAGTTATTCTTGACTAGCTAGTTCGCATGCTGATTAACGTTTACGTTCAAAGACTGTGAATAACAATACTGCTTTTTGTTTCAGACAAGTGTAAGTTATAACAAAGTGTTTGAAAGAGATCTTTCCATTTTAAGCAGTTCACTCATTCATTTTTCCTCTTTCTGTTGTCAAATGTTTGAAAGGGTAACTTCNAATTTTATGGTGCCATGATGCTTTCTCATGTGATCATGTCTGAAAGGAAAAACAACCTTAAACAAGTCTTATCACTCTTATCATCTTATGGCTTTTTAAACACCCCTTCAAAGTGCATTTTCCCCATATTTATATTCTACAAGTGTTCGATCATATGCACATTCATAAATATAAATGAAGTATTATAAGTTATATGTGTGCATACATATTAAAAATATAAGTTATATAATGGTTATTAGTATTATATTTTAAAAATTTGAACATTAGTAAAAATAAATATTACAGAACTATATAACATATGAATCATTATATTGATTGGATAAAATGTAATGAATAATGTAGGTTTTATAATTTGGATAAATCATGAACAATTAATTAGCTGAAAAAAAATACTAAATATACTATTATAACACCTGCTTATGCGATTTTAAGGTGTTTGACTATACAATTAAAGCCAATCAATTTATTTAAAAAAATTGCTTAATGAGATAAAAACAAAAGAGAATATTGATTTTAAAATAAACGAATTGAATAAACAGTTTCACAATATAATTTTTTATGCTTATCTAATGATATTCATGTATCATTTAGTGTGAAATATAATAAGTTAGTTTTTGATATAATTAGTTAATTTTAATAATAATCATTATATGATAAAATAATCAAGAAAAATATAATGATTACTTAAACATAAAGACTTTTAATTCTTATAATATATTTTAATTTTATAAATCATTTATAAAAGATATAGATAGATAATTGTGAGGCCTATATGGAAATTTTAAGTTAGCACCTGTATTTAGCTCGAGGCTGAATGAAAATGTTCTATATAATTAATATATCTATAAATTATACATAATAATACTAAATATAAGCAATTTTTATTAATATTTTCACGATCACGTCTATGTCCAAGTCTGCCGCTTAGCGCCCTTTAGAATATTGCCTTAAAAAGACTAATTATGGAGTCGAGTTTTTATTTTTTGGTGGAGCTTAATTTATATCATTTGCAAGGTAAATACATTTCAAATGACTTTTTTGTTTTCCATCCCCTAAAGAAATAATTTTATCTATGTAAAGTGAGTGTTTTTCCCCCCTTCTTTTCTTCCCCATTGATAAATTAAGTATCGGTCCAATAATCCCAATCCATCGTAAATAACTCCTATCGAGAATCGCAAATTCCCCTCCTTAGTTGTGAGTCGACCTGGCTGACTCGCCAAATTACTTGAAATAGCGGTAGGAGCCTTTCCGGCGTAAAGTGCTCCGACCATGAAGTTAGTTTCTTAGTCAAGGAATATAATTAATATATTAAGTCTTATGAATTGGTAGTAATTAACTGTCTCCATATATGGTAAAAAGCCATGGCCTTTATATATATAAAGATAGTGGCTTGTTGACCAAGAATGTCCTGGACAACAGGTAGATTATGTAAACATTTTTTTAGGTCGATCTATCATTATATCGAAGATCGACGTAACTACTTTGTGAAGGACAAGGTCGGTATAGTTGACCTGCTCGACTTATTGACCTCCGGTCTAAGTCGACCTAAGAGAGCTCCAGTTCATGTTTCAAGCTATTTGTGCCATATCACCTATTTTGTTGCTTTTGACCACACTTCAAAATAACAACAATTTAGGGTGATTTCATTTTTTTTTTATATATATATATATATATATATATTATTGTGTTGATCAT